ATCTAAATATATTTTTGTTAATATTAGTATTATTAGAAACTATTTGTGTTGCTATAGATTAGAAAATATGAGGGAAAATACTAATAAAAGTAATACTAATTTTTAAAAGTAACAGCCATAAAGAATATGAAAGATAAGTCTTTACATAATATAGACTTATAAATAGGTACCTACGCTGATTACTGATTAGACTAGATCAGTAAACACAGATGACGTATTGCAAATATTATATAACATAAAATACATATTATACATCCTTAAAGAAATACTAATTAAAATTTTATTCATTTTATAATTTTTAACGATAAAATATGTAAATATTTTTTTTTTACCAGATGGCTACTTTGGAAATTACGACTTACGGGAGGCCACCGAGTCGTGGAGACATGGCGACAATAATAGATGGACGAAACAAACGGCTCAAGATTGGAAAAACAATGAGGAGAACATCACCAATACCCGTTCTTCCTCCTAGAATTCCTACACCTATGCCAAATCAACCAAAAGATAGGTAGGTTACTAATTAACTTAATGTATACATCACTATAGATATTACTGTATTTCTATATTTATACATTTAAACATAAAGTTAATTTTAGTACCAACGAATGTCAATAATTATACGGTAATTATGTGACTCAAGACTTCCTTATAACAGTTATAATAACGTACACATTTTTAGGTATGAGATAAAATATAAAACATAAATCATCGCTGAATTGAAACGGGTTGGATCCAGTTTAACAATTATCAACATAGATAGGATCGAAAATAAAACAAAATAAGTAATAATAACTATGTCTTTTATAATAACATAGATATGAATAGGTAGATATGATATGAAATATGACTTCGGTGGATTGGTGTATACCATATAGATAAAACTGTGAAATATGTATAAGTTACATTGTTACAACATAATGTTTATTAGTTATTAAATTACTATTTACTATAGGATCTATAGGTGTGTAATATGTAACCTATGTTACTTAAGTTAATATAAAGGTATTATATAACAACTGAATATTATTGTTTAGGTAATACATACCTAAGTATTATATTTTATACAATTTAAAAAAATTAAATATTTTACATGTATTGAATTATTTTATAACTAAACCTAAAGGGTTTTATGTACCTATTGTACTTATAAGGTTTTCAACAAAGGGCTAGTCCATACAATATAGGTAGTTTGAGCGATCACCTCTGCAATTTTCTAAAATTTGTTTTGATTCATATTTCAATAATAATCACAATAAATATTACATTTATAATATTATGTATGGACGTATGGTAAAAATGTACGGCAGAGGTAAAATACGGATGCCCCTCCTGTAACATATATTTTTTTCTCCAAATAAAGTATAGAAATTGGTGCAAATATAAGACATTGTCTTATCTATAGATATAAATAATAATTGACAAGGATTTGTGTTAACGAAAATTCTGCCCCCCTGCCAACAAGTCTGTCCATGCCTAAGTTTTAAGAGCCTGACCAATGTTTTCTGACCTACGAAACACACAATAATGCTTTTACGTTATTGTATTATTTGAAAGTTTGCAAAAGCCTCTCTAACAAAAATAAATGGTGACCTACTGTTTTTTTGTTTAAATATCATTTATGATTTGAAAACAATAGAAAACACAGATTTTCTGTCTATAAAAAAGGGTGGGGGCGTGACAGAATACTACAGGTGCCCATACTATAAATTCTGCGAAACGCACTAACTAACCAAAAACTTACCTAACTTAGAAATCCTAAAGTACCCTCTCTACACCCAATGATCTATGTTGCCACGGGTTAACTAAATAGAAAAAAAAAGGTAGGAAAAGAAAACTTGAACAATCATAAATTTATATAATATAAATATTGTACATAAGTAGCCAGTAAGTATGCAAGGCGAATTGAGGCCTTTAAGTTATTCTATATCTACATTATGGTACACGCGTATAATGGAAACCCTCCTTCAGTTCAAATTTGTATTTGACTATTATTTTCATACTCACTAACACTATTTCATACCTACATAATTGTGAACATCTGACTTGAATAGGATTAGATTCTAGTTTCTCGTATCTGCTATATAACATGACATTTACTTATAACTTATACTTACTAGTTATACGTGATAAGCATTTTGGTTGAGCCAATCACTGCGCTTAATTATTTTTCCTGGATATCATGATTATATATATATATATATATATATTATATTATATTATATTATATATGATATCATGATATCACTTCACGGATCAGTGTGAAGTTGACTTTAGTGTCATTCATGTCTATATTTATGTACTATTTAGTTATGTAGTCATGTAGGTATTCCTAAAAGTTTGTCTGTTGTTCTTTCATATTGTAATTTTATTTTGTATTTAAATTAAAAAATATGTAATTTTTTTATTGGTATCCATTGAATAGTAAAAATAGAATAACATTATTTTTACAGTTCCTCAAAACTGAAAATTGCCAAATACGAAAAGACATATCAATCTTCTATAGCGGCTCGTATGTTACTATTTACAACTGATTCTGAAAAAGACAATGAAAAACGCATCGTAAATTATAAGGTAATGCATATTTTAGAAATATAATAATACTGTAGGCGATAACTATTTATGATTTTTTTTTAAAATAAAAATATACTATTATTATAAATGTGATATAATATTTTATTCTTATATCCTTATTTAGTACCACAGAAAATAGATCTGTTGTTAGTTTGATGTTTAAATTGTAACTTTTTGGTATTTTGTCTGATTTAAAATTTGTTGTAACTTGTAAGTCTAGGTAATTTTGCAGTATTTTTCCAATAATATTGTTATCGTACTATAAATAATATGTATTCAAGATTATTAGCTTTATTGTACTATAGGTAGGTATATTATTAAAATTAATTAATATTGTCAAAATTCGTAAAATGTATTAAATGAATACATTAATTGGTAGGTAAAGTCGTAAAGAAAAAGATTACGGATGTCTAAATAATGAGGTGACTATTATTTTGTCAACTGAGCATGATGGATTCTGAATATTACAATATGTTACGCAAGTTAACTTAGTGAATAATGTGTTCGTCAGATAGCGCTTGAGTAGTAATGTTATCTGATGTTCGATAGATAGCGCATGACTATTCAGTTTTATTAGTGGAACACAAGCTTTCTCATAAAAATATGAACGCGAAAAATGCCCTTTAAAAACACGTTTGCGCGTTCAAAGAATATGAGTCACTGAGTGGTTTTATTGTAAAAACAACTATGAACAAAAACAAAATTGAAGAGGAGATTAAAATTTGGTTCCGTAAGAAGCCCGATTTTTAATTTTTTTTTAAATTTTAAGTCCTAAAAATGACTCTTGAAAAAAATAAAAAACGGGCATGGTTAAACATGAAATATTGTACAGAGTTTTACAGATATAAAAAATCGGACTTTTTTCAGAACCAGATATGAATYTCCTCCAMAACAATTTTGTTCTTAGATGTTTTTACAATAAAATCACTTAGTAACCACTAACTCGTATTCTTTGAACGAGCAAAGTATGTTGTATAGGAAGAGCGTTGTATGTCTACACGTATCCGTGGGACGTCCTCTTAATTTTTAACTTTCTTAAGCTGTCAATCAATTAAATGTGTATTGTATGACTGATTGAACTTTGAGTGATTTAAATATAATAAGAACCAATAAGTTATACAATTGAAAACATTTTACAGATTTTGTTCATCGGGTATTACAATTTATAATAATTTWTATTAGGTAATTGTTTAATTTCATATTATTTTATATAAAACTCGTATTGTTCTAAACTTTATAAAAGTTAAAGTTCAATAAATGGCTAAAAATGTTCTTTACTTGAATCAATAATTTAAAAAATACCCAAGCATACCAAAATTGTTTTTAAATTTATTCTCAAGTGTCTTATCTAAATATTTTAGATTAGAATAAATTAAAATTTTATTTTATTCATGAATTATAATTCTTGTTTTATTGAAACCGAATGTAGCCATAGGCGTGTTTAAAACTTTTTCGCATATCTGGCCAATCGTATTTTTTTGGGAAGTTTTTCTTACATGAATTTAGTTTCTTCATCGTGCAGGAGCGTATTGGCATGTCGGAAATTCTGAAACTTTCAACATTGGTTTTTTAATGAATAATATTAAATATAAATTATGATATAAATTATGATTAATTTAATATTATGATATAAATTATATCATAATATTAAAAAACTGTTGATTTATGATTTTAAATATTTTGAAGTAGCACTATCACTGATGACCCAAGTGGTAATTAAAAAATAAATAATCAACTTATTTTTATTCAATTATTTTGTATTTTTCTTTATATTAACTTTAAACTTTTAAAGGGAAATATATTATTTGTTATCTATTAAACTAATATTAAGGGTCGTAGTAAGTGGAAATTGAGGATCAGAGTGGTCGACCTCAAATAGTTGTGAGAGAAGGCGAAGGAGAAGAAGAATAAGATCTATTAACCTAATACATCTGAATATCCTTAACGTTTACTTAACTAAATTAATTAAAGTTAATGTTAATCATTTACACGTTTTCAATCGAACAATTAAAAATAAATAACTGTATCAATAAATTATTTTGGGTTTGATAGAATTGTTGAAAATTAAAATTATGGAGAGAAGGTTTATAAAAATAATCAAATACGTATAACTAAACTTTAAATTTAGCATGTATTCGAAATCTAATTTGGATAGTTTTAAAAACGGATTTCATAAATATTATTTAAATGTTCCTTATTAAGACTTGAATTTTTTTTTAACAAAGATACCGCAGTGAACATTTTTAAATAGATTATTGGTGGCTGATTAAATTGTGAGTATTTATTGTCGAGGACAAGAAATATCACCAATCTTAGGAATTTCATAAAA